AAGGAAATTACAGGCCAGCAACGCATAACAAGTAGCATCGAGCACCATGTCTCACGAAAATCAGCAGCGACGGCGAGCAGGGTGAGTCTCGCTGCAGTGCGTGATGCTGATAGCTTGCTCGGCGGTTCTGAAATGGGGCGCGGGGAGAGAGGCAGAGAGATGGGAGGGACTGGGCAAGAACTCAATGCGAGCGATACGCGCTAGAGATCGAGCAATGCAAACATAAACCAGGCAAGCAAGTCACGAAGTCCGAATCGCCTGTTTTTAAAGTTCCCTACCTTCAAGCGAGCACGGATAATTAACGCTGCGCTTCGCGACAGGCGCCCTTACTAGAGGAAAAAAACCCGAAGGCGCCCTTACTCGAACTTGGACTTCGCTGCTGCGGGGACTGAGGTTACGACTAAAAACAGTGATGATGTCCCTAGAAACAGCTTTACGAACAGATAAAATGAGAGGTCTGGATTGTGCTCCTGAAAAGAAGCGAGATAAAGAAGAAGCAGCTACACCGCACCTAACCTGAGAAAGTCTGGCGACAAAAACGCCCACTGACGTACCAGCGGGGCAACCGCTAACGTGGCGTTGAAGATGCTGTTTCATCCACTCAGAGGCTCAGCAGTGGCACAGCGATGTCAGCGCTGTTACGGACGTGAGCAATCATTGGACTGCGGCGTACACCGACGCACTGCGACGCAATCGCACAGGCGTGTTTTGCAACTGCCAGCCCAACAAGAGGGCGGGACTGTTGTACAGCACGGCAATTCACGAACACAGCTGTACACAATAAATTGGGCCGAAGACCCACCCACTAACAGCTCATTTTACAACCAAGACCCATTTTCGGAAGTCAAAAATTACACAGACAAACTGTCACAAATGATGACAAACATAGGCGATTTCTGTTCAAAGGCTTCAAGAATCCTACGCATGGTGAGGTTTACGACTGCATTGTACGTAGTAACCGAAAACCAAACACATACAGCATTATAAACAACTAATACTTTATTCAATTCAAACTGGCGATTGTAAATATATCCAAATCATATGCGAATGATCTGAAAACCAGGTAGTCTCTCCTATATATACAGTAGAGGCTACTGGTCAAAAGAAACGAGAGTTAAAAATATGAACAATGCACTATAATGCTAATAGGCATGTACGCAACTTGTCACCGTTTAATCATCTGGAGGCTTTTTTTTTGTCAGAATCCCAGCCACTAACCACTGGGATAAAAGGGCTTGTTTGTGTAGCGGGTGAGTGCGCCCATAACCCCCCAGGCCGCCGTGCCTGTAACCCTTCCCTAGGATCAATCGGGGATCACCAGTGGACCTCTGACACCCCCCCGCACTGGGATGCCCGAGGTGCATACACCGGGATTCGAACCCGAGACCTTCGCTCTGATAACATGTCAGAATCCCAGCCACTAACCACTGGGATAAAAGGGCTTGTTTGTGTAGCGGGTGAGTGCGCCCATAACCCCCCAGGCCGCCGTGCCTGTAACCCTTCCCTAGGATCAATCGGGGATCACCAGTGGACCTCTGACATTTTTAGCCATATTTCTCCTCACATTCAGGTATTACATCCGATTTCCTAGCCAGAGGAACTTGGTTGAGATCATTCGCACGACGACGCAGCACGTGATGCTTGTTTGTGCGTTTGATGGCAAGAAACTATGCTGGGATAGGCATGAACGCAACATTTCACCGTTTAATCATCTGGATGTTTTTTTTAGCCGTATTTCTCCTCACATTCAGATATTACATCCTATTCCCTAACCAGAGGAACTTGTTTGGGATCATTCGCACAACTACGCAGCACGTGGCGCTTGTTTGTGCGTTTGATGGCATGAAACTGTGCTGGGATAGGCATGAACGCAACATGTCACCGTTTAATCATCGGGATGTTTTTTTAGCCCTATTTCTCCTCACATTCAGGTAGTACATCCTGTTCTCTAACCAGAGAGACTTGTTTGGGATCATTCGCACAACTACGCAGCACGTGACGCTTGTTTGTGCGTTTGATGGCATGAAACTGTGCTGGGATAGGCATGAACGCAACATGTTACCGTTTAATCATCTGGATGTTTTTTTTAGTCCTATTTCTCCTCACATTCAGGTAGTACATCCAGTTCCCTAACCAGAGAAACTTGTTTGGGATCATTCGCACAACTACGCAGCACGTGGCGCTTGTTTGTGCGTTTGATGGCATGAAACTGTGCTGGGATAGGCATGAACGCAACATGTCACCGTTTAATCATCTGGATGTTTTTTTTAGCCCTATTTCTCCTCACATAAAGATATTACATCCTGTTCCCTAACCAGAGAAACTTTTTGGGGATCATTCGCACAACTACGCAGCACGTGGCGCTTGTTTGTGCGTTTGATGGCATGAAACTGTGCTGGGATAGGCATGAACGCAACATGTCACCGTTTAATCATCTGGATGTTTTTTTTAGCCCTATTTCTCCTCACATTCAGGTAGTACATCCTGTTCCCTAACCAGAGGAACTTGTTTGGGATCATTCGCACAACTACGCAGCACGTGACGCTTGTTTGTGCGTTTGATGGCATGAAACTGTGCTGGGATAGGCATGAACGCAACATGTCACCGTTTAATCGTCGGGATGTTTTTTTAGCCCTATTTCCCCTCACATTCAGGTAGTACATCCTGTTCACTAACCAGAGGAACTTGTTTGAGATCATTCGCACAACTACGCAGCACGTGACGCTTGTTTGTGCGTTTGATGGCATGAAACTGTGCTGGGATAGGCATGAAAGCAACATGTCACCGTTTAATCGTCCGGATGTTTTTTTAGCCCTATTTCCCCTCACATTCAGGTAGTAAATCCTGTTCACTAACCAGAGGAACTTGTTTGAGATCATTCGCACAACTACGCAGCACGTGACGCTTGTTTGTGCGTTTGATGGCATGAAACTGTGCTGGGATAGGCATAAACGCAACATGTCACCGTTTAATAATCTGGATGTTTTTTTTAGTCCTATTTCTCTTCACATTCAGGTAGTACATCCAATTCCCTAGCCAGAGGAACTTGTTTGAGATCATTCGCACAACTACGCAGCACGTGACGCTTGTTTGTGCGTTTGATGGCATGAAACTGTGAAGGGATAGGAATGTATGCAACATGTCGTCGTGAACAAAAAATGTATCATTGTTTAATATAACGCTCGCAGATGCCTAATATAATCCAATACATGTATATGTTTTTTCTAGGTATGAGAACAAAACAAGAGCACAACTATATTACAAACTGTATTTGATTCCACATTCAAAGTTTCCCAATCTGTGTACTAATATTACGTTTATCCAATTCCAACAGAGCAATTTCGGACGGGACTTAGAGCCAATGGGACACGCCAGTCCTGTTCCAGGCCTTCATGAAGGGTACCGAAGCTGCGATGTGCCGCCGAAGCTGTCACCCTAGATGCTCAACCACTCGTGTGGTTTCCGAAGCTGCCAAGCTGGCTGCCCAAGCACTTTCGAGAGTTCCGAAGGTACTTGGGCTGGTTTCGTTTCGACGCGACGCGTCGAAAGTAGGTTTCCCCACTCATATGCCCGTGTTACTTCAAACATACTCTACGAAACCCTACTTTTCGGGGGCCCCCATTTTTGGGATGATTGACCCGACTTTGACCCGCCCCGATATCGAGTTAAGAAACAGAGAAATGGGTCGGGTATTGATCCGAACCGATTTTGACAGTTGGAAACCCAGATCTCGATGTCGAGGGACAATCCCCCCCTCCACATCATTCCGCAACCTAATCGATGTATACAGCCTAGGAACCATAGGACGTTAGTAATCAGGCATAGGAACCCCCTTAGCTCTCTATTCTAAGCAATGGCGCCGTTTAAGGGCTTTGATTTTGCTTAGCGCGCTTTGGGCTCCGAAGTTTGTAGTGCTCACACATAATCTGGGCGCTTAGGGAGGGCGGGTTTACTGTATCTGAGTCCCGACCCGACCCGTCGACCTCGCCCGACCCCGGGTCACGCTAAACCCGACTCCCACAGGAAGGGTCAGGTAGTTTTTGAAAACTCTGGCCCGACCCGAACCGACCCGATACCCGCCTGGCCATATTCTCATGCATGCCTTCCTGCTCGTTTCTTTTTGTGTGCATGGTCTTTCCCTGTTTACCTCCATGCTCATCTCCAACCGATTCTGACACACCAGAGTGCCATTCACGTTGTACATTCCGCAGAGGGAGGGAGGAGGCTGGAATTAAGCTGCAGTTATGGCTACAGAGAACGAGTCAAGTGTGACAAGTGAGGCAGTAAATGGACTGCTCGAATTAGTGAGAGGGGAGTTGGCAGCATTGAGGGGGGAGCTGGTAGTGGTCAGGGAGGAGGTGGCCCGACAGAAGGAGCGAGTGGCAGTGCTAGATGAGAAAAACCGGGATTTGGAAAATGAGGTGAATGAGATGAGGCGTGCACTGGGTGTTGTGGGAGAGAGGAGTGCGGTGACTGCTGCTGTGGTGGAGGAGAGGGGGAGAGAGTTGATAGCGGTGAAGGGGGAATTGACTGGAGTGAAGGGGGAATTGGCTGGAGTGAAGGGGGAATTGGCTGGAGTGAAGGGGGAATTGGCTGGAGTGAAGGGGGGGCTGACTGGAATGAAGGGGGAAGTGACAGGAGTGAAGTGGGAAGTGACTGGAGTGAAGGGGGAAGTGACTGGAGTGAAGTGGGAAGTGACAGGAGTGAAGTGGGAAGTGACTAAAGTGAAGGGGGAAGTGACAGGAGTGAAGGGGGAAGTGACTGGAGTGAAGTGGGAAGTGACTGGAGTGAACAGGGAATTGACCGCAGTTAAGGGAGAGCTGGCTGAACACAGGGACGGTACGGCAGAGCAACTGGATATTGCTGAGAAAAGAAGACAATCAGATTTGAGGGAGCTGAAAGGAGAGGTTAAAAAGGGAGAAGATGCAATGAGAGCGGATTTGGCAAAGGAGAGGGAAGAGAGGAGGAGGGAGGTGCAGGAGCTGAATTGGCCACGTGCCATGGAGGAATTGGCAGCCTGTAAGAAACGGCAAAATGTCGAGTTGGAAATATGTGAGAAGTACGACCATCAAAAGACTGCATGGAAGGTGAGTGCTGATTTCACCAAATGACAGGGCATGAAGTGTTTGGTATTTTCACGACGAACATTCCTTCTCTTGTCATTCAATCCCTCTTCATCCATCACCCTCCAGCGAATCAAGGCAGCGTCACGAGGACCCGATATGAACCTGGCGAATCTTAGCGGCCTCTCAGACGCCATCCTTTGCCACGTGGCCACCATGACCCAGTTGAAGAGCGTTTGCTTGTACAAAAGTTCAGGCTTCAGTGCAGAGGGCATCAAGCACCTCTACAGGCTGCCACGGCTGGAGAAGCTTAGCTTCCACAACACGGACGTCTCAGACAATGCCTTGGAAGGCATTGGGTCCTTGACCAGGCTCAAGGAGCTCTATCTCAATCGTACCAAGGTGACCGATGCTGGTCTGCTGCTCTTGACAGCTCTGCCCTCTCTCGAACTGCTTGGGATTTTTGGATGCAAGGGTGTGTCCAATGCTGGCATGGTGCATGTGGGGAGGCTGACAGGGCTTACGAGGCTTGATTTGGGTAGCACGGCAGTCACAGATGATGGGCTGCAGCAGCTGACTGCCCTGACCAAGCTGACAACTCTCCAACTGCCGAATGGAATCTATGTTCCCTATGTCGCTGCGCGCAGGTGGATAGGGCGGTAGGGTGGGCAGGGGGTGACGGATGGGACGGAGACACATGAGAGCAAAGTTGATCATGACTGCTTGGAGGAGAGGCACGTGGAGGCAAGGGGTGTGAAGAATGGGGGGAGTACATGCAGGAGTGTGCAAGGAGTGGGAGTGGTAGGGGAGTGTACATCATTGGACTCTGCAGAGGGTATGCACAAAGATTCAGCGGTTTGCTGGAGGATACTGTGTTGGTTGGCTGTGCTGGCGGGCATGCTGTTGCGTTGAAATGTCCCTATTTCGCCTCTTACAGGGCCCCTTTAGGCAAGATAGGATAGCATCTAAGGGCAGGCTTTCCTTCCTAGCTAAGCTTGAGTGCAATGTGTGTAATGCGATAGCCCTTTATTGATTAGATCGTCTCTTGAACAGTGAAAGGATGCTTGATTCTTTACACGTTGTCTCATGTAGGGTGCTCAAGTGCATTGTGTGCTACCTGGGCCTTGGAGGTAGGGCATGATGCCTGGGGCGGGGAGCAGAAGTGAAGCACAAGGAAGTAGGACTGTGTCTGCATGAGTGAAGGGAAGAATTATGGCTATTGTTACATCGCCTACCCATTCTGTCCATTGCAGTTCTCCCTTCTCAGTTCCTTGCTTGTCATTCGCTGGCAAGGTGGAATCATGCTCCCATGCACCGATGCACCCATGCTCCCATGCTCCCATGCTCCCATGCTCCCATGCTCCCATGCACCCATGCACCCATGCTCCCATGCTCCCATGCTCCCATGCACCCATGCTCCCATGCTCCCATGCACCTGTGCTCCCATGCTCCCATGCACCCATGCTCCCATGCTCCCATTTTTTTTAAACTCCATGTGAAAATGAAGAGAGATGGGAGGCAGGGTGCTGGTCAGGCACATGGCATCATCACATGCCATGGATGAGGATGGCTTCACGCAGGGGGACATGCCAACGTGGAGGTGAGAGAAGCTGAGTCGATAATCTAAATCATTTGTCACCATCTCTCTCTTCTTACATCCATTTCAGCTGCTCAATCCTCTGTCCTTTTGCCTGGGTCCAAACGCGCCCAGCATGGTGCTTCTAGTGTTCACTTGTTGGTGAAACAAAGAATCTGAGCACCGATTCCTCGAGGGCAGTTCCATCACCTATCTTCCACTACCCCTTCGTTGCTCTTTATGCCCTGGCCCTCTTCGCCCTCACCCCGACTCCCACCCACTCCCTTCTCTTCAACTTACCCACCAGCAGCACCTGGCCAGTACTAACTGGGAGGGGTCCATCTCATGTCTACCGCTGGTGAGCATGGCGGCAGCATGGCCCCTCACGGCAGCAAGGCCCCTCACGGCAGCACACTGCTGGGCAGGATGGCGGAGCCGCTGGCCGTAGCAGCCACAGTGGTGGCAGTGGGTCGGCGGGGAATCGGGTGTTGGCGGGCTTAAGGGAGGCGTGGGAGGCGAAGTGGCCCACCCATGGAAGGGATGGCTGTTTTGAGCCACGAGTGTGAGATTGTGGATGGTTCTTCAGGTGATGGCAGGCAGGGCGATGTGTCAATGCATTGCATAAGCTTCCCTCCCCTTGCCCTCCCCTTGTCCTCCACATTCCCTCGTGGTTTCCTCGCCAACCAGGCGTGGAGGTGAGAGAAGTGGAGAAGGCAGAGGAATCTGAATCATTTGCTCACCCTATCCATCTCCTTCCATCCATCGCTACCGCTCGTGCTTGAGAATATCATCCCTGCCTGCCTCACCCTACATCTCGTATCCCTTCTACCACTCCCTCCCTGCCACATCCCCATTTCTCCTTTATCTCGCCATTCCCCATTTCAAGGTCTCCATTCAACCCACTTCAAACATCACACCTGTCACTTCGGCCCATCACACCTGCTTTCATCTCAACTGGCTTCCCATTATCGCCATTACCTTTGTAAATATACCAGCTGTCTGTTCATTTCCTCCTCAATTCCTTCTCCTCTGCCCGCTACCATCTCCCATTTTCTCCCCCACCAACCCAACCAAGCAGCAGCATCATAGCCGTTGCACCTTCAGACCCTCCTCGCTCCCGCGTCAGCTACACTTGGGCAATCTGCTCTACCTCAGATTCCCCCTCCATGCCCCAATGCTCTCCTGTAATGCACATGTATATGCCCCCCGGGCCTCTCTGCCTCCCCCTCCCAACCCCTTGCCCCCCATCTCCTCCCTTTCCGCTCTCCCCCTCCCCATTGGTGGTTGGCTGTTGGTGACAACATAGAGGCGCCACATCGACTTTTCTTGCTGTCGCAACTCCACCGTCCCTTCCCCTGCCCTCCCTCTATCTCAACGCAACATGCAATGATGCGTGGGGCATACTCAGAACCAAGATTTTTAGAGGGTAAGCACTACAAATCAAGCATCATCTTATAATTACAAGAAAAATTACATATTTCGAAGTTACATGAGCAGCCGTGTTTGTGTGTGCTATCAGGAACTCTAGTGTTGGGCCAGATGTGCATGCATGCCTCATCCCATACCTTATCCCATACCTCATCCCATACCTCATCCCATACCTCATCCCATACCTCATCCCATGCCTCATCCCATGCCTCCCATGCCTCATCCCATACCTCATCCCATGCCTCATCCCATACCTCATGCCAAGCCTCATCCCATACCTCTTCCCATGCCTCATCCCATACCTCATCCCATGCCTCATCCCAGACCTCATCCCATGCCTCATCCCATACCTCATCCCATGCCTTATCCCATACTTCATCCCATACCTCATCCCATACCTCATCCCATGCCTCATCCCATAAATTTTCCTGCACTTAATCCCATGTGTCATCTCTTACCTTATCACAAATCATGCATCCCTCTCCAGTGTCGTTTCTGAACCACTTTCACCCTTTCCTCTCTTGCATGCCCCCCACTCATTCCTGCACTTCACTCAGTCACAACAGAACGCCCTCGAGCTCAGAGGGATACAGATGGGTGCCACACGCAGAACCTGAGTCGACAGTTACCGTCATACCCCGGATATAAGCGCCACCCTCGGATAAGCGCCTGGCGCTTTTAATTGGCGCATGGCGCTTATATCCGCTGCTAGATTATAAGCGCACCCCCTGAAAAAACTTGTTTTATTATAAGCGCACGTAAACTTTATTTTTTTTTAATGTGTTCGAAACACTGTAACGATATTTACTTTAGCAGGGGGATGTGTTGCAGATTCACTTCCCTTCACATTCGGACCCTGCACTGGATGCGGGTCCAGTCAGCAGGAGCAGTCAGGAGCTGTCAGAAGCTGTCAGGAGCTGTCAGAGTGGGTGTATCTCCAGCGCGCGCAAGAATGTTACAGACGACCCCATGTAACTTCGACTCGATTGAAAAAGGCAAGCACGAGATCTACAGCTTGGTGTCAAAAATATGTATAAAATATATATGTCGTTTTATAAACGCCGGCGCTTATAAATTTACTCGATAAAAAGCCCACCCCCCCAAAAAAACCTGTTTTATTATTGCCCCCCATGGGGGTATATCCGGGGTATGACGGTATCAACCAAGGGGAGGGCATGGAGCTAGAGTGTGGTTGTAGTGAGGAGGTGCAGTTGTGCGGACTCTGTCATGTAGCATATCAGCCATGTATTCTGAAGGCAATCAAGGCACTGCGAGAGTTGACAAGACATAGTAGGGAGAGCTGCTTGCAACCCAATACAGTAGTGAAAACCAGATTCACTGAAAATAAATTCTTCATTTCCTACTTGCCTCCTGCGTGCCGTTGAATTGGTGGGCCATGCGGGTGGGTGATGCAGCAGCACATGTAACTCCTTCCTACCCTTTCTCATCCAGGTCAGGTACAGGCCCATGTTTGCCTCACACCTGCCCTCTGTTCCATGGATCATGCCTGCCAACCACCAGCTTACCCAACCAAAACTCATCTAGCATAGCAAGCTGCTGCTGCACATGTATACATGCCTATGTTATGATACCAATCTAATACAATACGGTGTCGTTTTTTGTACTGATGAATTACGATTAGGGCATTCTAAATTTGACAGAAGAGTCATGTGGGGCATATTCTAGCTTATATGCGCACCAGGTCAAGGCTCACAGGCCCTGTCCACCATCATCTTGGCATCGTCTGATGGGTACCATACCATCAGAGCAGTATCAATAGAAGACAACAGTCATGCAAATCGTACCTACCAAGGTGTTCATGTTACTTGAAGCAATACTTCTTCATACACACTATACCCTCTCCAATGTGAAGGCATTTGTACACCATGCACCCAAAGAGCCAGCCATTTCTTATGCTGCTCCCTGCAGCCACGCAAGAAATTCCTTACATCCCCTGATCTCAACCCTCGCCCACCGCCGCTGCTGCCGCCACTGCTGCTGCCGCCACTGCTGCTGCTGCTGCTGCCGCCGCTGCTGCTGCTGCCGCTGCTGCTGCCGCTGCTGCTGCTGCCCCTGCTCCTGCCACTGCTGCCGTCGCAGCTGCCGCCACTACTGTTGCCGCCCACCATGCTCGCCTCCCAGCCATCCCTTCCTACTCCGACTCGCCCCCCACACTCCCTTTCCCTTTCTTCATCCGCCCTGCTGGTGATCGCTTCCCCCTCCATCATAAGGATGTCACGCAACTCGCCTCATGCAGCTCCCCTCATGCACACAGTGGACTCTTGCCCTGCATTTGCTTCAGTCCGCCTGTAAGGAACCAGCACTGCACCTGCTGCTGTCCACCTGCAAGGCACCAGTCCCACACGACCATTCTCCAACTCTATGCAGCATGCAAGTTGACCACAACCACCATTTCACGCCTCTCCTCAGCCTCCCCTAGACAGTCACAATCAACTCTTCCCTCACCTCAATGAACTCGCATTTCATCATCACTCCCTGCCACCATACCTGCCTATCCGCCAGCTAAGACCATTGCCACAAAGAGAACGCCCTTCTGGCAACACGAGCCATATCAATTTGGTCAGGGCAGTCAGCTGCTGCAGCCCATCATCCGTGACTGCCGTGCCATCCAGCCTAAGATCACCAAGACCTGTCAGCCTCCCCAAATGCACCATGCCAGCATCTGTCACACCCTTGCATTCAGTAAGGCATAGCGTATTAAGAGAGCGCAGAGGTGTCAAGTGCGCCAGACCAGCATCGGTCACATTGGACCGACGGAGAAAAAAGGTACTGGAGATCGGTCAACAACCCAATACTTTTGAAGGCATCGTCTGATAAGTTGGTGTCTCTGAGATCTGGGTCCACTAGCTGTGGCAGCCTGTAGAGGTGCTTGATGCCCTCTGCACTGAAGCCTGAGCTAGATTGCAAGTTAATGAACTTCAGATGTGTCATGGTGGAAACATGGGCGAGCATCGCGTCTGAGAGGCCTTGGAGATTACTCAGTTTCAGATAGGCCGTTTGTGATGCTGACTTGATTGCCTGGAGGAAACGGGTGGAGAGGGAATTTGACGGAGGAAGAGGTGATTATGGTGACAAGAAAACCTAGCAAGCAACGCACACTTTATGAAGCAATGCACACCCTGTGCAATGATTCATGCAGCACTCACCTTCCATGCTCCTTCATTCTGACTGATTTCCAGCTCATCACTTAAATTTAGGTCTTGTATCCTCTGTGAACAATTCAACTCCTTCTCTTCCCTCCTCCTCTCCTCCTCCTGTGCACACTCCGCTGTCGCTCGTTTCCTTCGTTTTCTACTCTTCCCTCTCAGCCCTCTTCCATCCGATGCCCTGCTATTCTCTGTACATTGCTCTGCCCTGGCGCCCTTGTGTTCCGCCAACTCCATTTTCACCACTGCCAACTCCCCCTGCATTGCTGTCAGCATGTGCCGCAACTCATCCACCTCCTCCTTGTGTTCAGCCAGCTCCTCTCTCACTGCTGCCAGCACCGCCTCCTTGATAAACTCATTTACTGCACTCGTCACTCTCTCAGCAGCCATCTCATCCACTCACTCCCCTCAAACAGCCCTCGTTCAAAGACTGACTGATTTCTGTGTTGAACTTTCTAATCACAGGGGACTTGCGAAAGCAGGCAAGCCTGGGTAGGGCTGGGTTTAGTGTCGTCAGAGAAACCAGAATGTAAAAACAAAAGAGGGAGAATGGGCATGGTCAGTGAATACACGACGAATGAGACCAATCACATGGGCGTGAGGGATGAGGCATTGATGTAATGATAGGGAGCAGCAGAAGAGTGAGACTTGACAGTCACACAGAGGGCTGGGGAACAGGTGGAGTAATGTCAGCCACATGAAGTGAGCTAAACGAGTAGCGCAGCAAGAGTGTCCTACGCATAATGCTGGTAAGAGAGAATGTCGAGCAGGAAAAAAGGAGGGGAGCGAGCAAAGACTATAATTGTAAGAACAGGGAGCGTCACTGCCTGCTTCTAAGAGAGAGATACAAAAAGGGAATCCAATGTGTGAATAGGCAACCTACACTTGCACCAGAACTTGGCATCAATACAAGTGTGTGTGGGGAGGGTAGCAAAAAGTGGAGGTAGCACCACCAGCACTTGGGCAAAGCGGAATCCAGGAAGAGAAAAAGAGCATGCTAGGATGTTGCATGAGGATGCGGAGCAGGTTCAACTCAGCCTGACATGAGACATGCGATTGTGGCTCTGCCAGCTCTGTTCCTTACCACAGTCAGGTAGGTGAGGGAAGCCGGATCGAGCACACAACGAGGAAATATGAAAGTAGAGGGCAAGGGAGAACAGAAATGGTTGTGAATGCATGAATGACCAAAGGGCCGAGTGGTGGCTCGGCCGTTTGAAGTGCTTGTTGAGTCGAAAACAGCGTGGTGTGGAATCCAACTCGCAGCGTGGTGTGGAATCCAACTCGAAGCGTGGTGTGGAATCCAGCTCGAAGCGTGGTGTGGAATCCAGCTCGAAGCGTGGTGTGGAATCCAGCTCGAAGCGTGGTGTGGAGTCCAGCTCGAAGCGTGGTGTGGAGTCCAGCTCGAAGCGTGGTGCTGGTGGAATCCAGCTCGAAGCGTGGTGTGGAGTCCAGCTCGAAGCGTGGTGTGGAGTCCAGCTCGAAGCGTGGTGCTGGTGGAATCCAGCTCGAAGCGTGGTGTGGAATCCAGCTCGAAGCGTGGTGTGGAGTCCAGCTCGAAGCGTGGTGTGGAGTCCAGCTCGAAGCGTGGTGTGGAGTCCAGCTCGAAGCGTGGTGCTGGTGGAATCCAGCTCGAAGCGTGGTGTGGAATCCAGCTCGAAGCGTGGTGTGGAGTCCAGCTCGAAGCGTGGTGCTGGTGGAATCCAGCTCGAAGCGTGGTGTGGAATCCAGCTCGAAGCGTGGTGTGGAATCCAGCTCGAAGCGTGGTGTGGAGTCCAGCTCGAAGCGTGGTGTGGAGTCCAGCTCGAAGCGTGGTGCTGGTGGAATCCAGCTCGAAGCGTGGTGTGGAATCCAGCTCGAAGCGTGGTGTGGAGTCCAGCTCGAAGCGTGGTGTGGAGTCCAGCTCGAAGCGTGGTGCTGGTGGAATCCAGCTCGAAGCGTGGTGTGGAATCCAGCTCGAAGCGTGGTGTGGAATCCAGCTCGAAGCGTGGTCTGGAATCCAGCTCGAAGCGTGGTGTGGAATCCAGCTCGAAGCGTGGTGTGGAATCCAGCTCGAAGCGTGGTGTGGAATCCAGCTCGAAGCGTTTCTTTGTTCTGGTCTACGTTGACGACCTTGTTTTCGCCACCCCTGACAGGGTTGCTTTGGCACACGTGAAGTCCGAACTGCAGAAGAGACACACCTGCACTGATCTTGGTGAGCTGCGCCACTACCTTGGCCTGCAGATCACCAGGGACAGAGCTGCTCGCACCATTACACTTTCACAGTCGCACATGGTGCAGCAGGTCCTTCAGCGGTTCGGGCTTCAGCACTCCACAGTACAGCGCACACCTCTTGCTGTTGACCACAGACTCACTGGACCCTTTCCTGACGAGCCGTTCGAGCCTAGTGGTCCCTACGCAGAGCTTGTGGGTTGCCTCATGTACCTGATGACTTGTACTCGCCCGGACCTCGCCTTCCCTCTCAGCGTTCTTGCGCGCTTTGTTGCGCCAGGGAGACACCGTCCTGTTCACTGGACAGCAGCTGTGAGGGTGGCGAAGTACCTAGCGACGACGTCAGGCGTGGGGCTAGTTCTTGGAGGGCAGCAGTCTGTCGTACTTACTGGTCACTGTGACTCCTCTTACGCTGACGACGCTGAGACTCACAGGTCTACTCAGGGGTACTGTTTCAGCCTGGATTCTTGAGCTGTTTCCTGGCGGTCCACGCGCTCCTCTTCGGTCTCGACCTCTACAGCTGAGGCTGAGATCTACGCTGGTGCCATGGCGGCACAGGAGCTGCGTTGGTTGACCTTCTTGCTCACCGACCTTGGTGAGCGGCCGAGCTCTGCACCGACCTTGTTCACTGACAACAAGGCGTCTATTCTCCTTTGTCGAGAGCCACGACTGGAGAGCAGAGTGAAGCACATTCACGTCAGGTACTTTCTTCTGCGAGAGTTGCAGAGGCGTGGACAGGCTCGCTTTGAGTTTGTGGAGTCCGAGGCCAACACTGCAGACATCTTCACCAAGGCGCTTCCGCCTTGTGACCACCAGAGGTGCTGTGTGCAGTTAGGCCTTGTTGACACTGGTTCTCGTGTTGCTTAGACTTGAGTGTACTGTTTACTTTGCTTTCTATATACCTCTGTTACTTCTTGGACTGGCCTTGTGGCCACTGTTGTTTGTGCTCAGAGTGTGTGGTGACGTTGTGATCCACCCTGAGCTTCGTTTCTTGGACTGGTCTTGTGACCGTACTCGTTTGGTTCTGCTAGACACCCCTCACTTAGGCTATGGGGGTGTGTCAAATGTTGTAGCCTATAGTGAGGTTTGTCTTAGGGGGTACAAAACTTAGGGTTAGCTATATGTACCCCAACCAACATCAATGCATCATCCATTCTTCATTTTGACATGAAGGCCCACATTTTCTCAGTTTTCACAATGGACTCAGGAGTCGCAACAACCGATGCAGCACATCTCATCTTGCCAAGCATGACGCTCAACCCCGCCCCTTCACCCCACAGTGGTCCACCCCCACGCACATTCACCTTAAGGCCCTCTCTGCTGCAGCAGCGGAGAGCAGAGTCGTTACCTCCTTCACACTCTGGATCCTGGACAGGTTGGAGCTGATTCAGGTGCACGTGTTGACTTTTGAGTCGACTCAAAAGTCAACTCGGTATAATGTCACACGGTGTTTTCTCTACACGCAGGGCAATTTTAGCTTGGAGTTTACCAAAACGAGTTGGTAATTATCTTATTTCAGCTCATAAGTGCTAGTTTACTGTAGATCTGTTTTCTACTGTTTTTCATCTAGCTTTCCCCCACCTTCCCTGGCCACGCGGAGGAATGCCTCGCGATTGAGCCCTAGGGGTTGGTATTTAGCCTAGCTTGCTTCTCATTCTGAACCTGTGGTCTGAAGAAGGCTCGAAGAGCCGAAACTAGTTACCACCAATTTTTCTACACAAGGTTTTTTTTTACAAGCAAGCAAAAACTTAACCTAAGCATCTGTTTGCTAAGAACAGCCGCTGCCACGCTAGCCATGGCTCCTACCTGGGGCTCCATTGGTCTGTTTGCTAAGAACAGCCGCTGCCACGCTAGCCATGGCTCCTACCTGGGGCTCCAGAGTCGTTACCTCCTTCACACTCTCGATCCTGGACAGGTTGGAGCTGATTCAGGTGCACGTGATGAGAGAAGGAGGGGCAGGAATGGGGAGGGGGCGGGGAGGGGAAGTGGAGGGGAAGGGGAGGGGAAGTGGAGGGGAAGGGGAGGGGAAGTGGAGGGGAAGGGGAGGGGAAGTGGAGGGGAAGGGGAGGGAATGGGGAGAGAACGGGGAGCAGAAGGTGAGGGGAAGGGGAAAAGGGAGGGGAAGGGGAGGGGAAAGGGAGGGAAAGGGGACGTAAAGATGAGAGGAAGGAGGTTGTTGCCTGATGTATGAAATGAAAGAGGGGTACCTCCCACTCTACCATGCACTGGTGCCATGCGGCACCACGCATGCCATCCACATGATGCACACACCATGCACACACCATGCACACACCATGCACATTCACGCATCGCCGCCACCCATTTACCCACCCACCCAGCTGACACTCACGGGGGGTGTGCATCTTGTGACTCATATTCTTCAACAAGATACTCTGCTTGCCGCCTCTGCTGCCTCCTCGGCTCGCCTCAGCAGCTCTTCCTGCCTCAGCGCCTCCTCCAGGTCGTGCCACATGCAAACAACACCCAGTCCCTGAGCACACGAGCAAACTGTCCACGCTAAGGGACATTAGCTGCGAGTCGGAGAGGGAGAAGGGCGGGCAGGAAGGATGGGCGGGGGGAGGAGATGGGGGAGGGGAAGAGGTAAGAGTGCAAGGGCAGCAATGGATGCAGGCACGGAGGGCTGCCAGCTCCAGAAACAATCACCCCACTACTCCATACATGTAATATGTCATATATACAGCACATAGTGAGCGACCACGGAATCAACATGGTACTTTAAATATTTAGGTGGCCGAATTCGGAACAACCGAAAGCAGCAGTCTATTGCCAGTCTAATCGTGGATGTATTAGGCTGGGATGGGTGATGGGTCGGCCTCATGGTCAGGCTTATTCCAGCCCGACCTGGAATGGGCCGGCTTGCTGGACAAGGGGTGTGTCGACACGCAGCCCAGTATATAAGTTAAGGCCAGGGAGTCCCTAGACTGACCCCTGGCAAGTTCGGCCCCGGGCCAGGCCAATCCTCTCCCTGCCCTCGTCACCATCCCTCCCTGCTTCCGTCCACACACACACACCTCCCTGCTCGCGCCCACACACCCCCCCTTTCCGTCCCTCCCCTTCCGCTTGTAGTTCCCTCGTGCCGACGAGATATACCGCGTGCGGCTCAGATAGTGCGCAGCGCATCAGTGACCTGCTCATACAAGCCGAATTCTGACCTGGACCGG